TGGTCACAAAATTGAAATTTAAGAATTTTCATAAAGGTTTCTTTTGCAATAAAGGAATTAAAACTTGGGTAACATAAAACTATGAATCATAACGTATATTATATTGTTAATATTATTCACATAATTGAAAGTAAATTTGTTAATCAAATTTTGAATGTAACTCAGTGACTTGCACAGAAAAATGTTTAAAGTGGTACCCATTGTGAAAGGGTTAACAAAATTTATAAGCTACACATACTGCACTATTTTCAAGTCTTTTTTTTTTTTAAAAAAAAAGGTTTAAGAACATTTTGCACAAGGTTTATAAAAGCAGAACGTACTACATATCTTAACTCCTTAAAATTGGATAGATCAATATTAACCCTACAAGGTATGGGTGGGTCAAAGTTCCAATGTCACAATATTTTTATGGTAACATTCAAATTTTAATTGAACTACTTTATTCTCAATGTATGTACATATGCATGGCATCAACACATAGTTTCTAATTCAAATTTCTGTATCATTTAAGTTTTGATTTCTTAGTTTTAAAAGGAAATATTTAAAGAAATTTGTAATCTGCACTTTTCAAAGTCGCATGACTTGGTGGTGGTGTGGCTTCTTTATTTTTATTTTTTTCATTACAAAAGGCTTCAGATTGTTCAACTAATTAGAAATACAAGCTATAGGTATTGACAATATAAAATACAAAATTTAAACCACTTAACTTCTCACTTTATAGAGACAAAAACTTTATTTGTTCAACAAACTTTGAAACATCCCTTTCATATCCTTTGTTTTATAAGAAATGTCTATAATTCTCTTTGACATTGCTATTAGATATGTTTATAACCAATAGAAGGAGCAAGTTCTACACAATGTAAATCAAATTATTGTCCATTTTGTTTTAATGGTAAAAAAAGATAATTCACAATGAAAGCTTGATATGTATGGACTGAAAATGTTGTTCCGATAAATAATGAAAACTTTAATACCTATTTAAAGGTTAGTAATAAGCCAGGTGAATTACAGAAGTTTTGGGCATTATAATTATATATGCAATGCATTTTTTGTCTTATGAAATACATATTTGAAAACTACATTAATTATTTTGTGACAATCAAAACAATGAGATAAAATATCCTTACTAAACTTTGCAACTGAGTACATAAGGCCTCAAGGCTAAAGTAAGGGCATAATTTCTTTTCTTTTTTTTGTCAATATTACTTAACGATATATTTTTCAAAAAAGTAACTAAAATGTAGAAATTAGAAACTTACTGGGATTGATAAGAAAACCGGAATTTTTTGATGTTGTTTAATTTATCCTCAAGGAATGCACTCAGGCTGCCATCCACTTCACATAACTCATTACTTTGTTTACCATAACTTTCACTATAGTTTCACCAGGTTAGTGCTTTGTTATATTAATTATACAGGGTTCAAATACTAATAAAACTAAATGTAAATGGATGTAAACTGTTACAATCCTGAGTCTGTTTAGGATAAATAACTAATTGTCTGTTACAATCTGCAGTCATTTTAGAAGGAAAAAAACACATTTTTGATTTTATTTCATTGCCTTCAACTTTTGCTACAGATGATTTCAATGCATTTATAAAGTGTTAGGGAAGAAAAAATAAAACAAAATAGTTTTACCAAAAAAAAAAAAACAACTTAACATTTATTTAACTCTCTCAACACAACCATGTGAACTCTTTGTACTCAATTAAAGTCTTTATGATTTAATACTTCTAATTTTCAATACAGTGTGTACATTTTCTCAAAATTTGGCAGTCTTTCAGTTCATATTATAAGTCTTTCACATACAAAAAATCATATTTTTTATTAAAGTATTTTTAATACAATAAAATAAAGATATGTCCATGAATATATTGAGTATTTGTTTTGAATAGTCCATGTGCAAAGTCATTTTCATGTTAAAATTAAAAATACTTTCCTCTTCTAAAATATCTCAAACTTCCTTTGTGTAATCCCTAAAGTCTCCCAAATGCATTTCAAACGTTTTTTTCAGTAAAACTTCATAGTTTCTGTTATTTTCTCTACCCTATCTCAAAATGGGATTGGTCAATTCGACCTACCTCATAACCACAAAAACAAATTGAAATAAACCTAAATTACCTTTTTTTCTGTCTAGAATGACTTCAAATTGTAATGTGAAACTACATTCGTTTATCCTAAGTAGCTCTAAGTTCGTAACAGTATACATTTATTTACAAATAAATTTTATTGTTTTATTGCCCTTTGAACTGTGTCTAACTACTATCTACACCATAAGTTGTAAATCACTAAGGGAACATGCAGCTCAAGTCACGCTATCGAATTACATTACCCACAAGCAGCTTGTGTGCGTGCCTCGTGAACCATTTTTATTATATTATTATTACTTATTTTACCTAATCTAGTCTTAAATAACCCAAAAAGATCTGTATGTTTATATTTTAGTTACTTTTATAATAATAAATAAAGAATAAATATGGAAAACAAGAAATAAAATACTTACCCAATCTTTTTTCTTGCTCTTGGGTTTTCGAAGAGAGTTAACCCTAATTTTTTATACTATAGATAGTAATGCAATTAATAATTTTTATTTAATCAAATAATGCACCAAAGAATATAGACTAATAACATGCAAAAAGTAGACAAATTCCCTCACCTCTTAAAATTTTCCTGGTTTTCTAACTATGCAACAAGAGCCATTACAAATTCATCCAAACTAGTCGTTAACTTTCGCACAGGAACAACGTTCGTACTCTGAATGAAATTGACATTTAACTGTTCAGAACATAACCTTATACAATGTGTCATTTGATAGATGAAACCTTTGACTT